TGGGGGGGTATCGGCATCGCAGGAAGGCTCAGGGTGCACCCAGAGCAGCTGGGTTGAGCTCACTGCTGTGATGAGTTCTGCCAGATCTCTGCCTGAGCTCCCACCCCAAGCCAAGGAAAACAGAAGGAACCGTGAAAAATAAGTATGAGAGCTCAGGGGGGTCCCCATGAAGCCCATCCCACCCCACCACAGCCGTGGGGCACAGCCTACCTCCAGGGAAGAACCAGTCGGCGTGCTGGATGAGTGGCTCGATGATGCCCACGATCTGCAGCGAGACGGTCGTCATCATCTCCGTCATGTTCCTGCAAGGCGGCAGGCAGGGGCTCAGCATCCCCCCTGGCCTTATTCCCCATGGGATTTTTGGCCCCAGACTCCCCCTCCCTCACCCCCTTCCCCATCCTATCCCTCTGGCATGCTCGCTTTCCAGCTGGACACCGTACCCGTCCGCCTGCGGCCAGAGGAGGTTGGGTCCCAGCACGATGGCCACGTTGCTCGGCGTCATTTTATTGATGTCCTGGTACTCAGTTAGCTTGGCCAGGAATTTAATCAGGTACCTGGAAAGCAGAGCCAAGCCGTGTCCGTGTGTCGGGATGGCACCTTCTCCGTCCCTTCCCGGAGTCCCCGAGTCCCCAGGCTCACCTGATGTTGTTGTAGTTGGCTTTGGGCAGCTTCTCGCAGGCGCTCCACAGAGCCTGCAGCCGCTTCTCCTGCTCCGGGATGCTGGGGGGAGGTGGGTGAGAGGGTCAGCATCCCCCATCCTCACCCCTGCCCCTGGGGACCCTGCCAGACCCTCGGGCTGTTGTCAACATCCTAGAAGTCAATTAACCCCAAAACCTTGGCAGAAACGAGAAGGAAACCTGTGGGCTGCAGGTTGGATGCTGGTCCTCTCCTCCTCCCCATGTAGGCCCTCCCCAAGGTTTGTGTTTTGGGTTTTTGGTTTGTGTTTGCCTTTGCAGTAAATTCCCCTTCCAACAGCCCCCCAAAACAACAGCCCACTCCCCCCAAGTGCCACCCTTGGGGACTGTCACCTCCATTGAGCCACTGCCACATCCCTGCCCAGCTCCAGCACCCCCAGGGCAGGTGGGGGATGTGGTCAGACCCATATTCAGGTACCAAGGAGGTGGTTCCCACCCTAAAAGGAGATGTTCCTTCTCCCACCTCCCTCTGCCCCTCACCCCCTGCCCCAAACACCTCCCATGGTGGAGCAGACACACTGGTGTCACCTCAGCTGGCCCCATCCTGCAAAGCACCCCACAAATCAGCTGAGAGCTCCCTTGTGCTGTCCCCTGGGGCTTGCACACCCACCCAGGAATGGCACCAGTGCCTAGAACCCAAGGCCTTGCCAAAAGATGCTGGGAAAGCTTAGCCACCTTGCCCAGGGTGTCCTGGACAACAGTGGGGACATCAGGGCCACCCTCACTGCTGGGACCCATGACGCTCATCATTGGAACCCTCCGGATTCTCAGATCCCGGAAGAACCATCCCAAATGGTGTAAGCCATGTCAGAAATAACTCATGGAGCCCACACCATCCATGGGGACCCAAGATCTCACCACCTACGCAACAGAGGAACAGGGGAGTTGCCCCAGACTCACTTGGAGGCTTGGATCCACTCCTCGTACAGCTCGAACGTCATGAGGGGCTCCGGCAGCTCTCGCAGGTAGGACTTGAGTGCTCCTGTGGCACACAAGGGACACAGGACTTGACACTGTGGGTGGCACTGGCCAACGGGTACCAAGTGATTTTGCTCCTTGGCATTTTGACTCACATCCCTCCCAACTGATGCCTCCCAAAACACCTGTTACTCCCTCCAGCTTGGTGGAACCCGTAGCATCCCCTGACCACCTTGTCCCCTCCACCTAGTCCCTCCGAGCACCTCCCCAGCTCCCTCCACCATTTTTGTCTCCACCAGCCCTTCACCCAGCTCTCCACCACTGGCTTTTGCCTAGGACTTCCACAGCTCCTTGCACTGGAGAAGGGTTCCCATTTGCAGTCTGTAGGAAACCAGGGTCCAAGGGTCCAATCCTGCACCCGCCGGGGAGCCCAGCCCAGGAGCTGACTGGCAATTAAACCAAATTAATGCTCAATAGCAGCCCAGCGGGCTTGGATCTGTGCTTGGAGAGGGTCTTGGCCACAGAAGAGGATGAGAGAAGATGACAATCTTGATGATGTGTGAGTCTTCCCAACTGCTCCCTGATGCTGTGGAGCCTCTCCTGAGCAGTGTCACCCTCATTAGCGTCACCCTCATTAGTACCACCAGGGCCCCAGTTGTCACCTCAGATTACGACTGCATCCCTGTTTTCTTCCTCGCCTGCGACCAAAAGTGCTGCTCAAGCTCTTGGCTGTGGAGGGGACATGCAGATTGGGGTTTGTGGTCTTCCATGGATGGCAACTCCCAAATGTCCCCCCTTCCACCAGGAGCTGTATTTCTGCACCTGCATTTGTCCCCCCCTATATTCTGGCTTTGCTGTTCAAAGGCTTTGGGACAAATCACAGAAGGGCTGAGGTGGGAAGGGGTCTCTGGAGGTCATCTGGTCCAACCCCTGGCTCCAGCAGGACCTCCCAGAGCTGGTTGTCCATAACCATGTCCTGAGGGCTGTGAGTGATTGGAGATGCCACCACCTCCCTGGGAAACCTGTGCCAGTGCTTGGTCACCCACACAGTGACAAAGCATCATCTGATGTTCAGAGGGAACCTCCCCCGGTTCAGTTGGTGCCCATTGCCTCTGGTCCTGGCCCTGGCCACCACTGGAAAGAGCTCTGTCTTCTTTGCACCCTCCCTGCAGGTATTTATATCCATCAACAAGATCCCCCAGAGCCTTCTCTGCTCCAGGCCGAAGAGTCCCAGCTCCTAGGAGAGATGCTCCAGGCCCTTCATCATCTTCATGGCCTGTCACTGGAGACTCGCCGGTATGTCCAGGTCTCTCTTGTAGTGCTCAGCACTGGACCCAGCACTCCAGGTGCGGCCTCACCAGTGCTGAGCAAAGGGAAGGATTCATTCCTCCCAGTCCAGCTGAGGACACCATTTGCCTTCATGTTGCTGGCCCATGGTCACCTTAGTTGTCCACCAGAACCTCCAGCGCCATCTCTGCCAAGCTGCTTTCCAGCTGGGTGGCCCCAGCATGTCCTGGGGCTGCTCCTCACCAGGGACAGCACTTGGTGCTTGCCCTTGTTGAACTTCACCAGGTCTCTCAGCCCATTTCTCCAGCCTTCCCAGGTCCCTCTGGATGGCAGCACCACTCTCTACTGCCCCAGCTGCTCCTCCCACTGTCATCTGCCAACTTGCTGAGGGTGCATCCTGCCCCATCATCCACGTCATTAATGAAGATATTAAGCAGGACTGGACCCCACGTCAACCCATGGACTACACTGCTGGTTACTGGCCTCCAACCACACTTCATGCCACTGATGAACACCCTCTGGGTGCCCACAGCTGGCGCTTGGGGGCTGGATGGACCATCCTACACACCACCAACCCCTCCACCCCGGGGCAGCCTCTACCTGCGATGGCGTGTGGGTCAGCTGAGTACTCCTGCACGTCCACCACGCAGCAGTCCAGGGCAGCCTTGAGCTTCTTCAGCTTGGAGGCCGAGGGAGCCACTCGGAAGAGACCCTTCACAGAGGACACAGGGGAGCGTCAGACAAGCTTTGAGGTTGGGGATGTCCCCAAAGCCCTCCAGTTCCTCGGCCCCTGACTTGGAGGCACCCATGTCCCCTTTCATCATGCCCAACCGAGGGTGGTAGGACATGGGACCCACCTCCTCCTGCATGCCACACTCCAGCAGCATGGTCACACATGCCTCCACGGGGAAGGCGATCTCCCGCCCGCTGACGGCCAGATGCTCCTCCAAGGGCTTCCCGAAGGAGGGCTTCTCCATCCACGCCTCTGTGATGGGCAGAGGGGGTGAGAGGAAGGGGGAGGACACGGCCGGGACGATCCCCTCCCCGAAAGGCCCTTGGATCACAGCGTTTCGGCAGCAAAATATTCTGTGTGGGTGTTGCTAAAACACCGGGACCCCCCACCTCTGTCCTGGGCAGCTGGGGAAGTGCTTTTTAAAGATGAAATCCAAACAAAATGTTTTCCAATCATCACACGGGACATTTCAAAGGGGCTGGATAACGTTTTCCGGGGCGGGGGGCGGGGAGCAATCACGAGCAAACCTTTGCAATATATTCCCCCTTCTTCCATCACCGTGTGAGGCAGGAATATTTTGTGGGATCAAGAGAAAAAAATAAAATACAAATCCCTCCCTGCCCCGCTGCAGGGACAGCAGCACCCCGAGCCCTGCCCCAGGGAACGAGCTGCTCTTGGGGACATCATGGGGGGGGTAGGGGGGTCTCCCCGACCTCTGTCTCCCAGCCCAGCTCCTATGGAGGTTGCACGCCCCAAAGCCAAGCCCAGGGACCCCCCCGACCTTGGCAGGTTCCCCCCCTTCTTCTTCCATGAAGCTGGCTGGATCCTGCCCCCCCGGGCGAGCGGGATGGGGATGGGGATGGGGATGGGGATGGGGATGGGAATGGAGATGGAGATGGGGATGGGGAGGGGGCAGAGCCGAGCTGAAATACGCGGGGCTGCGCTGAGTGC